CAGGAAGCAGCTAGAGCAGTCATTGCCCCGAACTGGGGTTTCCTAATCAGAGAGGGGAATGAAAGGAGTTAGAGCATAATTAGGTAGATAGGGTGAGGGGGGAGGAAGGAGGAATCCTGGAGCTGGCAAAACAAAACGTGTGTTTTGCAGGAAACAGGATGGAGAGCAGAAAATCAGGTGTCTTTCTTGCAAGTGCAAAACAAAATGTTGCAAAAATGCCAGGAACTGTTATGCCCAGATTTCAAGATCCCCAAGAAAACCACACCAGGGAGCCAGTCCGATGCAAAAGCAGAAGGTCCTTTATTGAGCTAGCTAACTCGACCCCACCCTCCGGTCGACCCAGCGACCGGAAGCAGAGTGCCACCCGTGAGAAAATCAGGGCTTTAATAGGGGGGTGGAATGAGGGGAGGGGAGCTGACTGTGGGCCCTGCCGATTGGCCAGGCGCAAGTCGTCGGGTCTCGTTACACAGGATGTGGTCATCTCTATGGCGCGCAGGTTCCTTGATTGTCATTGGTTAGTTTAAAGAAATCCCGGCTTCCGGGAAGAAGGTACTTTCCTGAGCACATGGTGACTGCCCCAACATGGAGGATCCGGGGTAAGACGGAGGGCATAGCCCTCGCCCTTTCAGAACCAATCAGAGAGCGGCACAGATCGACAACTTTTAGTAAATACCATGGGGGAGCAGAAGGCTTTGGGGGCAACCCATGTGGGTCCCCTCCCCGAGCGGGGAGCTTGTGTTTGTTTGCAATAAGCTTCCGCCTGTTTGAACTCCTCTGGTCCTAGGCTTCATTCTTGGATTCCGTGGGACAAGACCCCGGGAAGAATTTCTGCTCACTGGCTTGGCATCATCACAGTCCCGGCGGAGCACATGCTGAGCACCCCGCGTGGAGGGACAGGCAGCCGAAGAGAATTCGTGTCTAATGATGAAGACAGGCATTGGAGGCCTTTAGAAGACAACTCCTCGTGAGGCCAGGAACCTGGGTGAGACTGACCAAGGGGAGGGGAGGCTCACGCTGGAAGGGGGTCCAGACAGGCCGCCCTCTCGGCCAGCTCCTGGGGGGGGGGGTGGCAGTCAGAGCCAGCTTGGGGGGCACAGAGCAGCGCAGGGGCAGACAGGCTGTGACCATAAAGTGAGAGGAAGGCGCGGGCCCTGCTGAGCCGGGGGCTCCCACCAGCACAGCACAGGGCAGGGGTGGGCAAACTTTTTGACGCGAGGGCCACAATGGGTTCTTACACTGGACCGGAGGGCTGGAACAAAAGCATGGATGGAGTGTTTGTGTGAACTACTATAAATTCAAAGTAAACATCATTACATAAAAGGGTACGGTCTTTTATTTCAATAGTTTTATTCTTTACAAAAGCATGGATGGAGTGTTTGTGTGAACTAATATAAATTCAAAGTAAACATCATTACATAAAAGGGTACGGTCTTTTTTTTTTAGTTTTATTCATTTCAAATGGGCCGGGTCCGGCCCGCGGGCTGTAGTTTGCCCACGGCTGGCACAGGGCCTCAGGGCAGAAGTGCTCAGCTGGGCACCTTAGGGGGTTCCTGGTGGTCAGGGAAGTGGGGGAAAGGGCGGCGAAGCAGGGGAGGTTTAGAGGAGAAGACAGTGGACAAAGAACGAGTACCTTGAACCAAGCTGTTCAGCACCCAATATATGTGAGATGCTGGGTGTCACCATGAAGTGGCGTGGAGATGACTGGACAAGCTCCCGCCCCCACTCCCGCCCCCACAGCCACAGCCTCTAAGAAAGCAAAGCTCTCAGCTCACTTTCCGACTCAGTGGCCTCACAGGGCAGTTCCCCTCGCAAACAAAACAGTGGAAATTCCCTAGCCTGGCCCACAGCCAGGATGACAGCATGGCTCCCCTGCTTGTCTCCGGCCACAGCCTCCGACCGCCATCTGATTTACAGGCCCGTGCCTGCCTGCTCCTGCTTTTGTGCCCTGTGCAGCTCAGTCCTCAGCGTTCAGGGCCTGGCCAAAGGCTCCAAGGAGTCTCCATTAGCCCCAACACATACGCCCTCGCACCCCCCACCCCCCACTTCCACCCCCAGTCCCCATCTGCTCCCATCTCCCTAACTGTCTCAGAGTCTTTATTCAACCAGAAATGTTAGTGGGCATCACCTGCTCCTTCAACAATGCAACAGCTCCACACATAGAACCCGCTCTGTTCCAGACACGCCACCCCAGCCCCCGAGGCCTGGCCGCACCTGCTGACAGCAAGTGTTCGCAAGGCGGGTGAAGGTACACATTGAAAGGGTCGGAGTGGGCTGGGGTCGTGCACCTATGGTGTGAGCCATAATGTATCGAAAGAAGCTTTTATTTCAGGCACCTGGGTGCAGGGGAACTGAGTCCAAAAAAGGAATCAGTGGAGACTGAAGGGGGAGGCGGACTTTTATGAACCTTTGCTGCCTGCAAGCAGTTCTGATGTGCGGGCCGGTCCATCCTAGGCCCTCCTAGGTGCCAGATGGCTCGTGGTTATCTAGGCTGTGCTGAGCTCAAGGCAAGCGTTCTGCAAGATATCCACTAAGCACAGTCAGTTTTCTCTGCCCGGTTTAATCTCTTTAACCCTTTCATTCCCGTCTTGAAGGGTATATATAAAGGAATAGAAGGGGGAGGGGGTCGCCGTCTTTCTTTGTCTGCTTCTTGCATGGGAGGGGCTGTCGTGGATGCCTAAGGAGTAAGTTCAGATTATTTCCTGGGATACAAGCCTGAAGGGTCCCTTTACCTGGGTAAGGACAAACTATCCTACTGTCTTAACTAGGACTGGTAGTCTTGTTTGTATACATTTGGTAACTATTTTTAAAATGCAGGGCCCAAGGAGGAGGAGGAGGATGAGTAATAGTGTCAGGGAGCCTAAAGGGAAAAAGCCAGGTAAATCTGGGCAGAGATACCTGTAGGCGGGACCATATGGACTGCTCTATGCTGTCCTGATCTCCTTGAGCCACTGCATATTCAGTAGAATGCGTTGTGTTCTTTCCTCTATTTGACCTGTAGAGTTTAGATAAAAACAACAGGAGGCATTAGCAATTAGACAAACCCCTCCCTGTTTGGCCAAAAGATAGTCTAGATCAGAGGTTTTCAACCTGTGGGTCGCGATCCCTTTGGGGGTCGAACGACCCTTTCACAGGGGTCGCCTAAGACCATCAGAACACACATATATAATTACATATTGTTTTTGTGATTAATCACTATGCTTTAATTATGTTCAATTTGTAACAATGAAATGGGGGGTCACCACAAGATGAGGAACTGTATTAAAGGGTCGCGGTGTTAGGAAGGTTGAGAACCACTGGTCTAGGGCGAGTAGGGGGACCACTTTAGGGATACGAGAGATCTGCGAGTTTTGGAAGCACTATGACAGACAGATGTGATCTAGAGAGAAATCCTGTGAATTGGGCTGGAGCCAGAGGTCTGTAATGAACTGGGACATATCCTGCACTGTTCTGATGGGATAGTCTGTGCCAGGTGGGGGAGTGTTGTCATTAACAATCTGCAGGCACGTGGAAGCCGGGGTATATAATCTATTAGTGTCTCGGAGCACGGATTCATGCACATTAATAGGAAACTCATTAGAAGGTGGCCGGCGGGGTTGGACTGGGTGAGATGGGCTGGAACACATCCTGGAGCCAACCTCCTGAGCCGCCCCCCACCCACCCCGCTGGCTGCACGTGGGGCAGCACCTCGGCTCGAATGGCATCGGTGGAGTCAGTGTCCTGGCCTGCGGGGATCAGGCCAAAAGGGCTCTCCGACATCCCCTGAGGGCTCCCAGATTTCGAGAGGGCAGTTCTCAGGTGATGCACCTTGGAATCAGGCTCCCTCCTCTCTAGTTCTGGGGTGCATCACCCAAGAACTGCCGCTCCCAAGTCACTGCATATCATACCTACCGGACAGTCTGCTGGTTGCTTAGCCTGTTATATGTATAGATTAGTCATTCAGCTGATACTCAAGAGGGGCTATTTTTTTCTCCAGGAAGGCGAATGGAGGGGTAGGTTACCCTGGGGGCGAGGTTCTTATTTTACCCAGTTTTGCCCCTTGCTAGGTTTCTGAAGCTTTCCCCCCTATTGCATGCAAAGTATGCAACACAGTGCTTAGCACAATATAGGCTCAACTGTGAAAATAAAGGGTTTTAAATAATTTTTCAAGGCTCTCTAATTATCAGAGAAATGCAAAATGAGTCACTCTCCAGAAAAGAAAACAGCAAGGCCTGGTGAGGATGTGAAAAAACTGAGCCTCGGGCACTGTTGGGGGAGTGTACGTTGGTGCAACTGCGATGGAAAGCAGTCTGGAAGTCCTCAAAAAATTAAACTGGAACCGATGACCCAGCAGTCCCCTTCTGGGCGTTTACCCAAAAGCACTTACAGCAGGATCTCAAAGAGACACGGAACCTCAGCCTCGCTCACAGCAGCCACAAGGAGGCCAGCCACACCCACTGGCACAGGAACACGCAAGGAGTGTGGTTGAGGCCAGCAACACGCCGTGGTGCGTCTGAGGCGGAAGGACGCCCGTCCCAGGCTGCAGCACGGGTGGCTGAGGACATGATGCCGGTCACACAAGGACCAAGTCCTGTGCTTCACGTGTGTGAGACGCCTGAGAGGGGGGCGCCAGCACGGGGGGGCGCGAGGTGGGGGTTCCGGGCCATGAGAAGGGCGTGAGGTCTGTTGCCCAGGACGGGAGTCCAGGGAACGCTACTGCACACTTACACATGGCTGAAGGCACACTTCATCGGATGTGCTTTTTAGAGATAAACAGGTTAAATGGTGCCTGTGCGGATGCCCTCCAGGTCCCCAGTGCCAGACGGGCAGGGAGGGGAAAGGAGAGATGCGCAATTCGGGCTGGGGAGGTGCGAGGCCTTCGTGTGGAGAAAGCAGAGCGAGCGCCCTTCCCCCTCCCCTGGCGTGGGCCACAGCAGGAGACTGGACACAGCCTCCGGATCACAGGTGTCTGTCGGTGCCTCAGAACTGGAAATGAGAGGTGCTGAGAGGAGGACACACTCTGAAAAGCTGGAAGGAGGGGCGCAGAACAAGCCACAGTTTGGGGTCAGGATGAGATGAGCCCCTCTTCCCCACTGGTCTGTCTGGGGTGACTCCGCTCATTGGTAGCAACGGGCAGCCATGCTCTCCTGATGGTGGGTGTGAGCACTAACCCACTCACCGTGTTTGGAATATTCTTTTTATCCCATGAAACACAACACACATTGTGATTTTTACAGATAAGCAAGCTCTAGCTATGACCATTTGCAGGACTAGCCTTGGCATCACAAGTGATAAATCAGGCTCTTGCCTAAACCAGAAAGTGGTTTGTCTCGATCCATGGCTCGGGCATGGGGTGCTGGTCACTGTTCCCCCTTTCCCTGAAGATAATCTTAAATATTCACAGAAGGCAATGCCCAGGCTCTACTCCCAAAGAGGAAGGAGGCCCTTTCACCGGGGAAGGTGGGGCGGAAGAACTTTTATACAATTCAGTTAACAATGGCCTTTTCCCAAAGGGAAAGAAAGGATCCTGTATAATAAAAGCCTAATATGCTCAGTGTCTGGTCGTCTGTTCAACCAATCAAAACGTAATATGCTAATGATATGCTAAGGCCGCTCAACCACTTGCTATGACATGCACTGACCACCAGGGGGAAGATGATCTGACCGGTAGGTTAGCTTGCTGCTGGGTTCCCTGATGGGGACTGACCCCTCCCACAGTCCCTCCCTGGCTGGCCAACCTCCCGCATCCCTCTCTGGCCCCGATCATGCACTAGTGGGGTCCCTCCATCTGGCCTGCGCCCTCTCACAATCTGGGACCCCTCGGGGGAAGTGGGAGAGCCGGTTTTGGCCCGATCCCACAGGTCAGGCCGAGGGACCCCACTGATGCAAGAATTTGTGCACCGGGCCCCTAGTTTTTAATGAAAGGTCTCCCACATCCTGAAGTGTGAGGGGAGCAGCCCTGAAGCTGCTGGCCACACAGGTCACAGGATTCAGTGTGAGTTTTGATCATGATAGTGTTTCATTAATGTGGTTTCCATGCTAGATTTTCTGTGCATGTTGCAACTTTATAACAAAATACATTCAGTTGCTGGGCTGCTGTTGCCTAAAGGAT